TTAGTTTATTAAATATTCTTTTCAAACAAAATTATCTCATTTTAATTTCGAAGGAAAAAAGAAACATGATATTAAGACAAATCATTTCTTCAAGTATTTTATTACTTAAATGAATAATTCAAAATATCATCATATATGTATTAGAAGATTAAATTTTTACTAAAGTATGTTTGACTTTATATTTACAAATCAATGTTTATAACCACCTCAAATAAAAAACATAAAAGTTTAATTGACAATTCTTATTATTGTTTTTTTTTCACATATTATTAAAATGAAACGTGACCAAAAATGTACTGATCGACTGATGAAATATATATATATATATATATATATTTATCTTAATATTGTCAACAACAAAAAAAACAAATCAGCAAGCTAATATTTGTTTTTTTTATTTTATTTTATCATGTTTGTTAGAATCTTAATAAATAAATATTTATTAAATAAAGAAAAAGAAAAGTTTGGAAAACAAAAAAAATGAATTTTGAATTTATTTATTTATTTTTCTGATTTGATATTTACATGTACAAGTATTTAAAAGTGAAATAAACGAAAGACAAATCACCGTTTCTTTTTTCTTTTTCTCTCTCCATAAAAAGATTATCCCTAAAAACCAAAACAAAAAGAAAAGAAAGATTGAAATTAATTATCAAATAGAATAAATAAAAAACAATTGGAGAAAGGAAGACAATAACAAACACGAACATTTAAAGTGAAAAAATAAATAAAAATAAAAATTGTGTTGATTCGGTCGTTTGATTAATATAGCACATTAAATTTTCATCATCTGATTGATTATGTAAATTATCACTAATATTAATTGCTTGTCGATTTGTGTTTTCATCTAATTGAGATGTCAATGAATTTATTGGTATTTAATGATGATGATGATGATGATGATGATGATGAAATAAAGCAGATAATGATGCACTTGTTGTTATTGTTGAACGATATTGTATGTGGAATTTTCCCGTGATCCGGGATGTGTATTGCCATAAATTTCACGTTGTAAACGAGTTTTAACATCATTTAGTTGATTTGAATATTTAGCAAAACGATTTTTTGCATCCTGAAAAAAAGATTTTTTTTTTGTCTTGAATTTTAATAAAAATAATTCAATTACAAGATCTTTTTCTTTATAAACTTGATTGAGTGTTGTTTGTAAACTCATTCGAATTGTTTTTTCAAGTTGTTCATGTATTTCTTGAAGCTAAAAGAAAAAAAAATAAGAACTTATATTGATTAGAACAATAAAAAAGAATATTTACTTTTCGAATTTTATTTACCTGCAACAACACGACAGAAAATCATAGTTAGATCAGAAAGTAAACATTTTTTATCAGTTCGAAAGAACAAAAATATTGTGTTTCTTTAAATAAAATTTTAAATTTGCAGGATTAATAAACATAACTTCTCTTGCACATCATACAACAACAATAAGCATTGAGAAAAAAAAACATAACGATAAGCATCTGCTGAATAAGGAATGACGACAAAACAACGAGAGGTTTCATACTTCTTTTTATTGGACAATTATTTATATGAAGTTTCCGTAATTTTTTTAAAGGTGCATTAACAAAGAACTTTGTTTTCACTTTACCATTGTTGATACTGCTTTTTTCATGTGTAATTCTACGAACTTGTCCTTGTCTTTCCGATGGTATAAATCTTTCCAAACCTAATTTTGTCAAAATAAATCTTATTGCTTCCATAATCATACATTTCATTTCATTACGAAATGCTTAAGTTGATAATGTGTATGTATATAAAATCCAACAACTGGATTAAAATAATTTATTAAACGACCTATATTACTATAAAATGTATTTATTGCATCACCATAATCAAATAATGTTATTAAATATTGAAAAATCATTGATGTTATATTAACAACTGAAAATGGTAATGTACAAAGAATTGTAATAAGAACTTGAATAAGAAGCATTATTATTAATTGACGATCTTTTGAACGTAAACGTTCATTTCGAGCATCATTATTTTGTGGAGTAATTTGTGTTCGAAGTTTTCTAATATTCATTATTGTTAATATGCCAAATATAGTCAAGAAGATTATAAATGGGATGATGTTAGCGTCGCTAAAGTTATTCCTGTTGTTTCTGATGAGTATAATAGTGATAGTGGTATTAGTTCATTTAGAACTGATTTTTCTAAACAAGTACAACATCAACAAAAGAAAGATTCAGCACATTCATCTGATTTTGGTGGTGATCATTCCTGGACTGATCGTGTTACTGCTTCACCTCTTAATTCCTTAATGCTCAATACATTTCCAGGTTTATGACACACTTTACCAACACTAGCGCCTGCTCCTCTTCCTCTTTCTCCACCTCCATCACATATGGCTGAACCCAATCAAGATTATAGTCGTTTAGTTCGTGAAAAAGCTAAAGAACTTGAAAAACAAATAGAACTTTTTGAAAAAGAAAATGCTAAATTACAATTTCTTTGTAATGAACATAATTTAGCTATAAAAAAATTAAAACAAGATCATGATGAATTTGAAAAAACTAAACAAAAAGTAATGAAAAAATTTCATCAAATGAAAGAAGAAGAAATAAAAAAATTAAAACATGAAAAACGTTTATTTGAACAACATCGACAACAATTACGTAATCATCGAGATAAACGTGAACGAGAAGAAATTGAAACATTAAAAAAAACAAGTGAAGAAAAAGAACTAAACATTTTATTGATCTTTATTTGTTTTCCATAGGTTTTAATATTACAAGAAGATTTAAAACAACCTAAAACACGTTGGTCAACAACAATTAATCGTTTAAAAGAACGTATTGAAATATTAGAATATGAAAATGCTGAATTAAAACAAGAAAAAGAAATCATCGAACGTAAACGACTTGATCTTATGCATCAATTACAAACAGTTTCTAAACAACAACAACAACAACAATTACAAGAAGATACATCATCATTATCTATGACAAGAAAATCACTTGTAGAACTTCAATAAACAAAAACACGTCCAAAAAGTATTGGACCAATAATATCAAAAACTCAATCATTACCAAAAAAAATGGTAATAAGAAATTCTGAACCATCTATAAAACCAAAAATAACATCAAATGGACGACGAACGCCAACAATAGTTGTTGGTATTAATGGAATTAAAAATAATGTTGATACATCAAGAAAAATACCATCATTATCAACAACAAAACGTCCAACATCAATGAATGAATTAATAGGAACAATTGAATCAATACCAATACCAACTATAATTGAACAACCAATTGTTGTTTTCGAAAGAGCTGATTCAGGAAATGGAGGAAGTGATGAAAATATTCGTCGATTTGATCGAAAAAATGATGAACATTTATCACCGTAAGTCAGGAAAGAAGTTTGCCACAGTTTTCCAATGTCTATTGACTTCCTACTTTTGCCTGTGGAACGGATAGGAGAAATCAATGTGAGATTGATGAATAAAAACTTCTAATCTCCAGTTTCGTACTCTTTATCATTAATGGTTTGAGATATTTTCCTTTAACTCTTTCAGTGCGAGATTATTTTTTAAAAAACGAATTTTTTATGAATACATCTTATTTTAATAGTATTTGGAAAAGTTCTTCAGAGAACCAATCCTAATGACATGAATTTGTAGGACTGAAAATTATTCCATAAAGATGCGAATAACTTCCTAATTCAAAAATATATTTTTCTACTTAGAAGTATTTGTATCACTCTTGATTAACCATTTTTTTAATGCTTTATTTCGTTCAATTTTTTCTTTATATTTCGATATTAATATCAACTTCTTCCTTTTTTTTGAAGCACATAGAGCCAGATAAATATTATTAACTTCATTTTTCGCTTTTTTTTTTGAAAAAATTATTATAAACAATAGACATAAAAATCAACAGAAAGATTTCATTTTCTTTCATTCTTCTTTTTTGACAATCATGTCTATCAATAAAATGTATAGTAAATATAAGTATAATATATTATTTAAGTGTGAGATTCTATTTTTATATATCATCTACATTTTCAAAACGAATCAATAAAATGAAAAATAATGGTGACTTTTTCTGTTCGTTTTTTTTTTATCAATCGATGAAAAAATTGATAATCATAAATAGTTCGTATGCAAATAGGTTCAGAACAATATAGTCATTAATCAAAAAGATGGCAAAATACCATTGATCCTCCATTTCCACCATTTAATGAATGATATGAATATGTCGTTCTGTAAATAATCATTCACCGATTCGACTTCTGATTGATGAATAAATGATGAATAATCAAGTAAGATGATTGATCTCATTTTTATCACCATTTCATTTACAGTATCATGGGGAGATATGTGAAATTGGTGAATTCCGGTGTTAATTAATCTCGAGGTAATTGGTACAATAAGTAAAGTAGCATTGACAAGACTGTTATGGTAATCAGATGAGATGATTAATGCTGGTCGTTTTTTATCACCAAGATTCTTCATATTCATCAAAACAATTTCACCACCCAGGTCGAACGTTACGGAGTTCGTAAACGATCGTATACGACCGTATACGGAAAAAATACGGCCGTTTACGACCGTGTTTTGCCGTAATACATGTGATCGTATTACGATCGTATATCTCCGTAACCGTATACGGTCGTATACGACCGTATATGGAGAAAAACGGAGATCGTATACGGCCTCCATTTACTGTCTCCGTAAACGACCATTTTTTCGTCCGTATACGATCGTATTGCTCCGTATACGACACGGAGATATACGATCGTAATACGATCACATGTAAATCGTCGTATTTCTCCGTATACGGTCGTTTACGACCGTGCTTGTTCGACCTGGGCAGCTTCAAAATAATGACTAAAACAAAGAAAACGTATTAATTTGAGAATAGACTTTACAAAAAATCGAATCAGGACAGATACAAAGTATCGATTTTCAACAAAAAAATGTATCCTTTTCGAAACTAGCACTACGGATGCACAAGAAAGATTTCAGTCAGATATTAAGACAGCTTTCATGAGCCGATCAAGTATCACTCCAATATACACTCACGTGGAGTAATTTGGATCAAAAATTTGAAAATTTATTTTGTTTTTTTTCGTTCTCTTTCATTATATGTCCTATCAATGTAATTTTTTTTACCAGAAGTAGATCAAAGTGTCTTCTATCGACTACAGAAAGAATCTCCAAAAAAGCATCTACTTGAAAAAAAAATCATAGTGAAAATGATGAAAGGAGAGAGGCGGATCGAGCTGATCCGACTTACCTCACTTGGGGTAATTCCGATCAGTTAGTCAATGTAATCAGGGTACTTTCGATTAATCCAGCAAAAATGACGATGACTTATTTTTCCATCTCATAACTCCTTTTTTATTCATTCTTGTATAATAAAAAAAAAATATATCATTCGATAGTCCAAAACATCTTCTATGGGACCTAAAAATATTTCAATGAACGAACGAACGAACTGTTGTAATGCAGTACTTACAACACTGACATCTCTATCAATCATTTTTTTTAAAGGTAAAAATGAATTCAGGATAATTTGGATCAGCTAAGCAAATCTTGTTCGGATAATTCAGATCACTCCAGTTATATTAAATGGTGATCAATTATGAAATCTCTACCATTCTTAGGACACAATGCTGACTAATATTCCTCTGCGAAAAGTTGTTCAGCTTATTTTTCTCTATCTTGACGCGAAAAATTATTTGACATTGGACAAGTCAAATCAAACATTATGCTATTTAATAGAATAATAACCGAGAAAATATGTTCTTTCTTGATAGAATCTCACTGTTTTCCCACAAATCCTTCAAACCTACAATAACCTCTATAAACACAAAAGTTTTGTGTTTCAGATGCAGAAATGTTTGGGCTACAAAATGAAGTAAAATAGTTATATTATTTATGTTTCTATATTGTCAAGGTTCAACCTTATTTTCTGTGTAAGTGTCCTATTATATTATAGTAATCATGTTAATATGATCCGTGTATGTTTTGATATAAATACGTCTTAGGAGGAAAATTTTATATGAAATTCTAGAAAATTTTCTCCTCTTTCGAGCTATCTAAGGTATAATTCTGTAACATAGTTGTACCTTGAACTATATTTGCGATAAAGGAAAGGTAATCTCACAACTAATACGACATTTGTTATTTTGATCTATAAATAGAATAAACAATTTGACATATAAAGTAAGATCAATAGTGATGACATCAGTAGCTACCGCACATTGATTGAAAAAAAGATACAAAACTGTTTGTTAAATTTTAAATAGTCTTGAAGACACAGAACTATGATTAACCACATGAATAACGTTTGCTCTCTATATCAGAGTTGGAACCGAACAGTTTTTTCTGTCCGGTCCGGTTCGGTCGATTAAAGAATCGATCCGATCCGATCTGGTTCGGCCAGCAGTCGGCCGGAAAAATTTTACAGCCAAACTAGCAAAAATCCGGCGAAAATAACTGACCATGAAAGTATCTGTTTACATAAAATGGTGACGAAGGGAAATTGAATATTTACGTGTAGAAATCCTAACTAGGGATGATCAATTTACATTTATGATAGTTTAATAAATCTAAAAATAAATTTTTGTAAGTTTAAATTTATTTTAAATTTAAATTGAATTTACAGAAATTTTGATTTGTTTAAAATTATTTAAGTTTATTCAGATTTTTAAAATTTATTTAAATCCAGTTTAAATTAATATAAATTCAAATTTAAACCAAATAGAATTCAATTTAAATTCATTCAATTGGATTTTCATCCATCCACATTAATTCAGATAGGATTTGAATTTAATTAAATGAATTTAAATTGAATTTTATTTGGTTTAAATTGGATTTATATTGATTTAAACTGAATTTAAAATTTATGTAAATTCAATTTAAATTTTAAATGAATTTAAATTTTTATTATTTACACTTGAAATAAATTTAAATTTTCATATCTGAGAAAAGTTAAATTGGCAAAAATTTAAATTTAAAATAAATTAACAGAGAATCACTATCCCTAATGCGAACCTGGAAACTAAAACTTGAGA